GATCTCTGGGAGTTCCAGGCCAGTCAGAACCACATAGTGAGACCCTGTCTATAATAGGGGTTGGAGAGATGACTGAGCAGTTAAAGAGCACTGGCTGCTCTTCCAAAGGACCTGGGTTCAGTTCCCAGCACCCATATGGCAACTGCCTGTAACTCCAGTTCCAAGAGATTCAGCATGCTCACATGCAGGCAAAACACCAATGCACATCAAAAATCTTTAAAAAATGATGATGATGATGGGCAATTACTTAGGAATATATAAATGCCTGTCGTTAGGCTGCAAATAGCAATTACAGAAGAAAGTAAAAACTCTATCATTTAATATAAAAGGTCCAGGTTTTTTGCTGGGTGTGATGATACACACCTTTAATCCCAGCTCCTAGGAGGCAGAAGCAGGTAGATCTCTGAGTTCAAGGACAGCCTAGTCTACAAAGCTAGTTCCAGGACAGCCAGGGCTACACAGAGAAACCCTATTTTGAAAAAAAAAAACAGGTTTTCTAACTGCAAGTTTAGTAAAGTGCAAATGAAAAACAGATGGGAAAAACTCTCACCTTGGTTATTAGAAACACTAATAGGACTATCAATAGAGTTCCTTGTGGTTTAGCACACACCACTTTACAAAGTGATGGCAAGCTTGTTTTCTTTCTGTTTTGGTTTTTTGAGACAGGGTTTCTCTGTATTGTTTTAGAGGCTGTCCTAGAATTAGCTCTTGTAGACCGGGCTGGTCTCGAACTCACAGAGATCCTCCTGCCTCTGCCTCCCAAGTGCTGGGATTAAAGGCGTGTGCCACCAACGCCCAGCAAGATTGTTTTCTTATAGTCACTAAGTAGGGGCTAAGGACCAAAATTAAAATACAGATCAGGTCTGGAATGGTGAAATTCACCTATAAATATTTAGGAGGTTGAGAATAGAGAATTCCTGGCCAACCTGGACTCCACACCAAGACCCTGACTCAAAACCAACTGAGATGTGTGTATGTATGTGTATAAATTTCTGGGCCTACACACTGAATAAGTTTAGCTCTGAAAGGCAAGACACAAGAAAGGCAGAATGAAGGGGCTGGAGAGATGGGGGAGGGTCTTAAGAATGAGTCGTCTTGCAGAGGACCCAAGTTGAGTTCCTAGCACCGACATGAGGTGGCTCACAGCCAAATGTACACATAAGTAAAGTAAAATAACTTCCGTTCCAAGGGTTTGTGTGAAAACACTGCCCACGGTGTAAGACAAGGCACTGCTGATTTGACTACACTCAGGGAAATGAGTGCTAGGTTAAAAAATAAAGACGAAGGCTTATTAAATAAGTCATCCAGACGTGTTTCAATTAAGCAGAAATATATAACGAGCTGATAGTTGAAACCCTTTTAACAAATTAAAATATGAAATCCTTAGAATAAGAGGCTGGGGAAGTAACTGGTCTTTGGGATGTGGGACACACCTCAATAGATAATGCCTCCCTCGCGTTCCATGCTCTATCACAGACTCCCTGACAAGTTAACTAAAAGCGAAGGTGAGGGTTAGGACAGTCAAGAAGAGCAAAATAAAGTATTTCCAACCCAGGATTTCAACGGCCTTCAAAACTAGGTTATCCCTCAAAGGCAAATGTCACCACCCAGGTTTTTTCCATCCATCCTGTGTTCCTGGTCCCCACAGATCTAACCAACCAATATACTACTTGCACACTCTGTTCCAAACTACCTTGACTGTCTCCAGACTGGCCCCTTCCAGCACCACAATGAGCCTACGGCCTCCGCTCTTGCTTCCTGCCCCCAGCCGGGGCCTCTTGGGCGGCGCATTATCCCAGTCCTGCTCCTGCACTGCCAAACGCCGTTCACGAGGTTGGAAACCACCACTGGGCGCAGCCATCTTGTAAGCAGACCGGAAATTACGCTGACGTCCTTAAGTTAGACCATCGCGTTCGTCCTCATTGCAAACTTCCTTCCAGCTGCCATTTTGAAAGAGGGCGCTTGGAAATGGCGACAGCTGTCGTCCTGAAGTACCGAAGCCTGTCTAGGAGGGCGTGCCTCCAAAAGAGGCGGGACTTCCGGATGCGCTTTTACTGTGCGCGAGGTTCGGGTCCGCCTAGGCAAAGGGGGCGGGTTCAGAAGGAAGCGCACTTCCGGTGCCCTTTCTGCCGCGAGCCCCGCGGCCCCCGATCCTCGTGTGCAGAGCGAGGTCTGTAACCTGGAGCGGGGTAGAAGCTGGCGGGCAGCACCTCCTGACCGCCGGTGCCGCCGCCTTCCGGAGGATCAGACATGGCCCAGAACTTAAAGGACTTAGCGGGACGGCTGCCCGCCGGGCCTCGGGGCATGGGCACGGCGTTGAAGCTGCTGCTGGGGGCCGGGGCCGTGGCCTATGGCGTCCGCGAATCCGTGTTCACCGGTGAGCCACCTCCTCCCGCTGGCTAGACCTCGCGGTCCGCACCCCACTGGCCTGCCTCCCCAAAGTGTTCGCGCCGACCGTCTCCCGCGTCCCCGACCCACTCGCGCCGCCCAGTACTTTGATCAGCAGCAGCTTGCCCTGACTCCCACCCCTCTCTCCACAGTGGAAGGTGGTCATAGAGCCATCTTCTTTAACCGGATCGGCGGCGTGCAACAGGACACAATCCTGGCCGAAGGCCTTCACTTTAGGTAATGGCGGGCAGAGCGCACGGGCCCTGACCCTTCACCCTTGACGGCCGTAGCGAGACTTACACCAGGATTCGGTGCTGCTCCGACACTCCAGCAGTGCATAAGGGCTGTTCTCCAAAGGGAAAAGAGATAGCTCCTTGTCTGTGGTCATGGGGAGGAGCAGGCCCAAAGAGGTGAGGGAAAACTGGTCCAAATCAGTGAAACTGCCGTTTCCCAATTCCTGTCCCTGACCTCTCCTCTCCAGGATCCCCTGGTTCCAGTACCCCATCATCTATGACATTCGGGCCAGACCCCGGAAAATCTCCTCCCCCACAGGTTCCAAAGGTAGGTGTGGGCAGTTGGGAGCTGGGTGGCAGGTGGGAACGAGCCTGGCAAGCGACCAGAAATGGTGGTGTCTCTGAGGTCTGGGTTTCTACGTCTTCAAAAGAGCACGCCTCATGACTTAGCACAGTACCGTCCAGCACTGGGTATGCTTGCACGTTTTAACGTTACTCTCTGCCTAGCACAAGCTGAATCCGAGAGTTGCCTCTCCTCTCGGCCTTCCTTGCTCCCTAGATCCAAGCCTTTTGTGTTGACTCGTTGGTTGCATCTGCAGTATACCTTGCTCTGGAGAGACTGCCCCACTCTTCACTAGCTGTTTCCTTCTAGACCATACTTAGAAGCCCCGCCTTTGACATTCCCCAGGCCTCTGCCTCATTCACGTGTATACACGGAGGCAAGTAGCCCACAGTGATGTGCTGTTTTTGGTGTGTGATGTTTATTAATTCGCTAAGCCCTGGAAGTAAGAACTTGGGAACGCTGGTTCTTGAGTCCTTGGAGTCTAGGGGAGACCACAGTTGTGGTGGTGTCCACACTGGAGGGTGCCCCAAGCCCAGTAGCAAAAAAATAGAGTCAGCTGGACTAGTAGAAGGCTCACAGCAAACAAGGATCTGTCTCACCTGTGTTGTGTCCTCCTTGCTGGCGTAGCCTCTTCTCCCCAGAGGAGTGTTAGGCTAGGTAGACATGGTGGGAAGCACTCGTGAGAGAAAGTGCTTGGAGAGGAGGAATTTGGCTTTAACCAGTCACTACTGGCCTCACCCTCAGACCTGCAGATGGTGAACATTTCCCTGCGTGTGCTGTCCCGACCCAATGCCCAGGAGCTCCCCAGCATGTACCAGCGCCTAGGGCTGGACTATGAGGAGCGGGTGCTGCCGTCCATTGTCAACGAGGTGCTCAAGAGTGTGGTGGCCAAGTTCAATGCCTCGCAGTTGATTACCCAACGGGCTCAGGTCTGATTCCTATCACTGTCTGCATGGCAGCAGCGTGTCTCCTTTTGGTCCAGGGTACTAAAAGGGAGCATTTTATATAATAGAATAGAAGGATGGGGTGGGAGGGGGTTGGGAGTTGCCTAACAGGCACAAACCCTGGATTTAATCCCAAGCATTATTTAAACCAGGTGTGGCACATCCCTGTTATCCTAGCACTACGGAAGTAGCAGCAAAAGGATCAGACGTTTAGGGTTATCCCTGGCTGCCCAGCCAGTTTAACGTGGGAAAAGCTGCACTGATTGTCACTCTGGGAAATAAGGAGAAACAACTGTAGAACCTGATACCGGTCAGTGTTAAGGAAGCATAGAAGAAAACAATGGGGAATACAGTCTTACCCACGTCTCCAAAGGCGTTCTTTCCTCGCTTGGCAGGAAGCTAGGCAGTGGAATATAAATATATATATTGCATGGAATAAAGGGAAGATTAGGGGTCAGCGTGACATAGGGCAGTCATGTTGCTGCCTCGTCTGTCACGTGAAGACATTGACTGAACCGGGTTTTTTCTGGCGAATGTTTGAGGACTTAAGAAGTGTGGTTGGTTTGCTGCCCATACTCAGGAGCTCTGGTATTCAGATGGTTACAGCAATACCACCTTCCTTCCAGTTCTCTGATCCCCTCAAGCCTCCCCTCCCCTCCCCTCTCCACCCTTGTTCCCAGGTGTCCCTGTTGATCCGAAGAGAGCTGACAGAGCGCGCCAAGGACTTCAGCCTCATCCTGGACGATGTAGCCATCACCGAGCTGAGCTTTAGCCGAGAGTACACAGCAGCTGTAGAAGCCAAACAAGTGGGTGAGTCCCCGGAAGAGTGCTCAGTGGGCTCCTGGGCGTGGGAGGAGGGCCTCCATGTGGTTGGGTTCTTACCACCCCACAGCCATAACAATACTCACTCGCCACCACAGCCCAGCAAGAAGCCCAGCGGGCCCAGTTTTTGGTGGAAAAAGCAAAGCAAGAACAGCGCCAGAAGATCGTGCAGGCTGAAGGGGAGGCTGAGGCTGCCAAGATGATATCCTTGTGTTGCAGAGCTCATGGCCTGCTCCCTGGGACGCCCCACTTCCCATCCTCCCCGATGGGCCGGCTGATGAGACTAAGGCGAATGTGACAGCCTACTGACCCTTGGCTTCTGGGGTGGGGAGGGGTGACTCGTGAGATCTGAGATCTTGGTGGGGCTGCCCGAGGCCCGACTCCCCACTCTAAGGCCAGATCAACAGCATTCTGGCCTTGCCTTCAAGTCTGCTGCCACCTCAGTTCTTGGCAGCACCCTGCAGGGAGGCCCACAGCAGGTGGCCAAAGCGTGAGTAGCCTTGTGAGCACAACCTTGAATCTGACAGCCCAGGGGACTCTGCGGGGGTGGGATGGCAGATGTAACCCTGGCCTAGATGAACCCTTAACCCTGTCTGCTTACCTTGGAGAAGCACTGAGCAAGAATCCTGGCTATATCAAGCTCCGAAAGATCCGGGCTGCCCAGAACATCTCTAAGACGGTGAGAGAAAGGCCTCACTCTCCCAGGGCTGCCCGTTGAAAGGGAGAGTATTCCATTACAGTCACACAATGGGGATTAGAACCTTACTTGAGTCTCCTGGGTACCCTTCGTCCCCCAGAGTCAGAGGCTTTGTGTTTATGACTGTTACGGAAGTGTAACACCAAGGCTTCTCACTGCTTGGAACTTGGGACTAGACCAGGAGCCTGTTACTGTCTTCCACTGGGTGGACCACTGAGTCACGGGGACCAGACTTGAGACCTCTGCTAACACAGCCATCCATCCCTCTCCTGTAGATTGCCACATCCCAGAACCGCATCTATCTCACAGCTGACAACCTTGTCCTGAATCTACAAGATGAAAGCTTCACTCGGTAAGAGCTGCCACTGTGCAGAGAACTGAGCGCCTACATCTGGTCCCTTGGGCTCTGGACTCCGATACGGTAGTCATGGGGCCCTTGACAGTTTCTCTGAACACCAAAGTCAGAAAAGTAGGTGTCTCTGCCTGGCAGTTCCTGTGTTACACCCTGTAGGACTGACTTTATGAAACAAAATAGAAACACTTGTGTAAAAGGCATTTTATTTATAAATAGTTAAGTGGAAAGTGATGGCCAACGGTGTTCTGTGTCCCTGCGTAAGAACCTGAATGCTGCTGTGCTGGTAATGAAAGTCAGGACCCCACAGAAAGTGGCCAAAAGAGCAGTCGTCGTGGGGGAAGGGGGGACACAAGGGTCTAGAGCAGCTGGGGCCTGAACTGACTAATCATATACCTCTCTTTTCTGTTTCCTGTTCACTCCATGATGTGCTGGCTGTAGGGGAAGGTAAGTGGCAGACTGCATCCTCCCTGTGGAGTCCCTGCTGGTCCTGTCTCTATACCTCCCTCCCCAGTCACACCTCCACTTGGGAAGAGGGGATAGTCTGGAATGTTCTGCATCTCACACATCAAATGTTTTCCCTTTGTTCTACAGTGACAGCCTCATTAAGGCTAAGAAATGAGTTGTGACCATCTAGAACTCAACCAACAAAGGAAGGAGTAGATGCATTTCTCGTCCAGTTTTGAAGAGCCAGCTAGGGAGGCCAAGCACACCCCACCCTGACCCAAGCATCATGTGATGGATTCCTCTGTACTTGCCCTCTTGGATTAAGGAAGATGAAGACCAACTCTTTCAGAGGGCTTTTCCTCCTCCCTGTATTGACCTGGGAGTTGCGGGGGACACTGTGATTTCTCAGTGATTTCCTACATTGTTGTCCCTCTCCCAGAATGGGGGGAGACAGCCACCATCCCAGAAATTCTCAATAAAATTTTTATTACTTAAACTGAAGCCAAGGTTTTGCATCTGCATGGGTTACATAGGGTGCACTCTGGGTCTCTGCCAGCAGAGGGCACAAGCAGTCTGGCCTTTGCTAGGTCCTCAGAGTCTGCTGGCTCCAAAACAGGACCTAAGCTGGGAGCAGCAGACCTCAGCCAACGGCCCAGCTACACCCCTTCCTTCACCGCACCCTCCGCGTCTACCAAACGAACCCGCTGATTTAATAACATCTTGCTCGAAGCTGGAGCAGCTGTGGCTTTGCTGAGCCTAACTAAAAACTTGATGACCCCAACGGGAGCTGCTTCCTTGGTAACCAGCTTCTGGGTAGCTATGGGGAGATCTCGTGTTCCTCCTGAGGGCTTCAGGGTTCCAAAGTCCCACTGGGCTACCTGCACTGTCATTAGTCACCAGGTACAATGAGCTATTTGCATATAGGTTCTCCCTACAGACCGGGGGTGGGCTTCCCACCCCCACAGCCCAGGAGCCCAGCTAAACAACCTATTTTTCCACAGATGATCTCATTCTGAAGACACTACATCTCGAGTACTGGAAAATTAAGCCATTACTCATATCTGTAGCTCACCAGAAGCCTTGCCATCCTTTTCCCTTCTGGGTAGATAAATATGTGAAACCATAAAACAATGCAATCGGAGAAGAGGTGAGCCTTGAGTAAAGTCAGCAGCCTGGGTTCTTGAAGGGAGTGGATGGATCTCTCCTGAGGTCTAGGAAGCCTAAGACCGGCCACTGGTCACTGACATTCATGTTCTGAAAAGACAATGGAAGAGACCAAATGTGTTTCCAAATCTTGCTGCTCTTCTGAAGGCAGCCATTTTGTCTCTTTCCCATTGTTCCCCTTTGCCAAGTGATTCGCACATACACACCCCATCCAGAAGGTTAAAGGTCGGAGGTTGTTGGTCTGGTGGCCTCCACGGTCTTCGAGGCTCCAAGAAGGTCACTGCTGCGGGAACTGACCCGGGAGCCATCTTTACCAGACAGTGTTAGGAGCTTCATACTTCAACCATCCAACACTGCACTGGAAGATGGACCCAGAGCCGGCCAACATAAGACCAGACTACACCTGAGCGAGAGAGCCGAGCCGCCGCAGGCTAGCTGGCTGGCTGGCTGTGCGTAGACAATCCCAAGGCCAAGGTCGGCCTCAGGTAGGTTCTGGATCTACCAGATGACAAACCGCACTGGGCTGGAGGAGGGGCTGGGGCCACTGTGTTCCTCCAGTGGGCGAGCGGCCAACCCGAGAGCCACTTAACTCAGGAGAAGGGGCTTTCAAGCGTACGTGGAGTCGAAGGAGTTTGCTACCGGATTGGGGCCAGGGGCCTGAGGCACTGGACGACGCTGACACGGGGACAGGGGCCTCCATCATTACCCGGCAGTATTAGAGACTCCCAACCAGCACCCAAACACTGCGGGGTAAGACGAGGGCCCCCACCCGACCAGTCCACCTCCAAGATCAGTCCTGCTAAACCCAAGCACCCTGGGAGAAGCCGGAGATCTCTGGCTCCCATCCCCCACCTCCGCGTCATTTGGGACACTTCCGGGTGAGCCTGGCTGCTCACCTCCAGGCGGACCCTGAGTTGCCCATCACTGAGTCCAAAATCAGCTGTAGCAGCCCTTCCTCACCCCTCCGCTGTCCGCCTGAGAGCCAGCCCCCTACCCCCCGCAGCCCGTCCCTGCCCCCAACACACGCCAGTTCACTGCGCTCCACAGTTCCTAGCGCAGCCCCAGGACCCCGTGATCCGTGGCCTTTACCTGGCACCAGACCCGCCTGACCCTCAGAGTGGTGCAGAAGAAAGGAAGGGGTATCGAGGCCCCGGATTCGACCGCCTAGAGCCGCCTGGCCTCCTCTTCCTTCTTCACCTGCCGGGCAGCGCTGGCGCCTCACCTGGGCCCCGCCCGCTGCTGCCCTGCGCACAGGTGTGTCCTCCTGCCATAGGCTGCCCCCTCTCCGCCTTAACTCCTTCCCTCCCAGCACCAGCCCTGGGCACCTCCTCTTTGGGGCCTGGCTCACCCCACCAGGCCTCCCGCCCTTTCTGGCGGCCTTTCTTCTCCTGCCTCGGCTTTCCCTGTTTCTAAAGGAATAAAGGGAGAGGCCATCTTTGGATCCCCTTGCAGTGGCACCTTCTCCAAACTAAAAGTCCTCTCCTCCGAGGCCTCCAACCCTGCCCTCAGGCCGAGTCAGAGGAGCCTCCCTGAGGTCAGTGTGGGGTCAGCTAGGCAGGCATTGGTCTGTGTCCCCTCTCCAGTGCTAAGCCAGAGTTGGACAAACCCTTGGGAACTGGGAAAGATGGAAACCCCACCAGACCTGTGGATCCCCTAGCCTCTGCCGCAGGCCTCCAGATCTTTGGTTTTACCCTGATGTTGAAGCGTCCACGCCGGTGTGAGGAAAGCTGGAACCTGCTCTAGCTCTACACGCCCACCCCCCACTACCCCACCCTCTCTAGAGAACCCACCTCTCTGCAGAGCCCTGGAAGAGTTAGCCCAGGGCAGTAGAGGAGCAGGATGGGCCTTCCTTCCATGTGGTTCCGAGTTGCTGGGAGAGGGGCCCTGCAGCACACAGGTGATGCCCCACCCATGCACCCCCTGGAGGGCCATAGCTCCAGGGAGCTATCATGTTGCTCACGCCCAGAGCGGACTCTCTCTTTGTTCTCCATACTTTTCCCTTGTAATTTTGTGGACTAGTTCTGGCTGGGTCTCCCAGACCTCGGCCGAGTCCCAGTAGGATACGCTAACTTGTCACCCTCAACTGCTCCCAGCACTACCCTAGGACCCATGGCGCAGCAGGCCCTCAGGCCAATGTGCTATCCTTCGCTTTTCCCAGGGTGGAAGCCAGCTCTTTCCAAGGTATGGCTGGCACACTTAGCTGGCCAGGAGATTCAAGTTACAGATGAAGAACCCAACTCTAGACAAAAGGAAAGGAAGGGGGACAAAATAATAAAATGACCTTCAGTGACCAGAAGATGTCACCGTGTGCTTTGGGAACTGTAGATCTGGGGAAGCTAGATCAGTCCCTCCCAAAAATCTTCCTAGTTGTTGGATCTATCAACCAACAGCAGGTTGTATGGCAAATCTTTCTGGGGTGGGCCCTGCTGAGTCTGTATGGTACTGAGGACATGGACTCTGAAGGCCAGTGGGTCCTAGAATGTTGAACAAGTGAATTTGATCTCCCTGTGTCTCAGTTTTCTCCGCTGTACAAGCAGGAAAATAAAGGTACCCAGACTGAGAGCCAGGGAGAGAGCTGTTCACTCCCTGGCACGTGGGAGGCCTGAGCATTGTCCCCAGTGCCACAAAAAATAAATAACACAGGAAGTAAAGCACCTAGGATTAATTCATTAATTCTATAGTCGTTTAAATAGTGCCTGGGCCTGTTGCCAGCCTGTAATGTAGCAGTGGCCATTGTTATTGGCACTCACTATTGCCACATCTTCACTATGGAGCCCAGAGGGCAGATGAGTCCAGACCACCCTCTGCTGCAGAAAGGCTGGAGCACTCGTCAAGCACATAGAGACCTAGGTTCCATCCCCAGCACGAGTGAGAGAGGGTTGAACACAGAGCAGGCTAAGCCTTAGGAATACCACAGGCCGCTGTTGAAGCAGCATCCAGAACTGGCCTATCCGACCACAAAGTTGAGCTTCCATGCAGTCACACACAACACCCCGGTCCCACCCTGCCCCTAGTCCCTGGATACATGGGGCACACAGAGTTGGAGGCAGCACACAGTGGTCCAGGGGCTTTATTTACAAGAAGTCTGGCTTTGCCTGGGGACTTGCTGGGCTATATACAGGTTCAGAGGACCACCGCCATTTAAATACATGAGGATGGGTGGTCCTGGGGCTGGTGTGTGGGGGCCACAGGTCTCGATCTGCCCGTTGGAGGCCTCTGCGGGGATTGGGCTGCTGCTGCTGCTGCAGATAAAAGACAGGAAGTGGGTCAGAGGGCATCTGGGGCCTGGGGAGAGGACACAAGGAGATCTGGGGACACCGGCAGGATAGCGTGTGATCGTGACCACCCCGCGCATGTCAGGAGTGGAGAGGGAGGGGCAGGGAGAGGAGACCACGCGGAAGGGGCCTCACCATGGCCACCTGCAGCCGAATACCCGGCTCACTTCCTCTTGAGGGAGCCTTTGCTCTTCTCCTTGTCTGCTGACCGCTGCTTCTTCACTTTCTCTTCCTTCTTGTTCTTGCTGTGCACGTTTTCATACACCTCCTCCTTGTGTCTGGGCGCCGGGGGCAGCGGGGGCAGAAGGCATTTGGAGACTCTGCCAGACCCATTGCTAGCAGCCCCTCCAGACTCACGCTCACTTAGTGAAGCCAGGAAAGCGAGATAACCTGCTCACTGTCCATTCACTAGACCCAAAGCTCCCTGGGACAGAGACTGCACTCACACACGAGTCCACAGCTGGGCCATAGCACGGGCCCACACGTAGTAACAATGCCCACTTCAGAAAATACTTAAGAACAGAGGTAGCAGGACGAAGGCTGACCTCGAACCAGGATCTCTCCAACCTCCACACTAGTCCACTCCAGAAAGGACAGTTAAGGCTGGGCAGGAGAAGGGGGAAGATGTTGGGAGGGCAAGCAGGACCACTCACTTGGAGGAGGTACGGGAGGCCTTGGCGTGGGCGCTCTTCATAGCGGGAGGGTAGGTGATATTCCCATACTCCGACTCCTGGCCCTTCCGAGACTGTGGGCAAAGGTGTGGTGGGAAGATGGTGGTACCAGCAGGACTGGGTGACGCCCACTCACCCCTACCACCCATCAGCCCCACTCTGGACACACTTGTATGATCTCCAGTTTCTTCTTGGTTGTTTCAATGAACTGGGCAATGGCCACATAGATGAACTTGTACTGTGCCTCCGTCTGCACCATGCCAGAGCGCTGTGCCCGTACCATCTGGATGGTCTTCTGGATGTCAATGTCACAGTCCAGCCCTGGACAAGGGTGGCATGGGACTTCAGTGTAGGCCAGGGGACTGCTTGTCCCTCCCCCACCCTCGTTCCCCAGTGCCCTCACCCTTGGTGGAAATACTCTCCATGAGCATGTCAATGACAATGATGGTGCCTGTTCGGCCGATGCCAGCACTGCAGAGAAAAGGCACCACCATCAGAGGCCCAGCTCTGCCCAGGAAATGGGGAGGCCCAGGCTAACCCCAGCACTAGGTAAGGCGTGAAGAACCTAAAGCCCCAGCCACAAGGGTCAGGGATGGATACAGGCCATTAGGCCCTCGTAGTGGGTGTATGCCCACATCTGCGCCCATTCCTCTGCCCAGTCACAGGATGGACAAGCAGGTGCCTGTATTTCCCTCCTCCCAGCATTTGTCCCCAGATTTCTGCTCCCACTCCTCACTCTCCCCAACTGATGGCTGTCCTCATCCCTTGGAAAACACAGAGCTCTACCCCCTGCCGTTGTCCTGCCTGCTCCTCAGGCCATTCCAGCCTTAAAGAGTTACATCTGGAGGGGGCTGGGGTGGTGCACACCTTTAATCCCAGCACTCGGGAGGTAGAGGCAGGTGGCTCACTGAGTCTGAAGCCAGCCTGGTCTAGAGTGAGTTCCAGGACAGCCAAGGCTGTCTGAAAAAACAAAATAGAGATGCATTTGGAGCCAGGTATGGTGGCATATGATTTTAATCCCTGCACTCGGGAGGCCAGCCCAGTCTTCATAGGAAGACACAAACAAATTACATTTGGGATGGGTGTGGTGACCCAGGGAACCATCCTGCAAGCAAGCATGAGAACCTGATATCAGATCCCCAGGGCACACATAAAGGCCAGGCACAGCAGCCATATAACCCATTACTAGGAGGTCAGGTTAGCTCATTGACCAGCCAACCGAGCTGAAGTGGTAAGCTCCAGGTTCAGTGACAGTCCCTGTCTCAAAAGGTAAGGTGGAGAGCCTGGTATGTTAATCCCAGTGCTGAGGAGGCAGACAGAAGTTGACCTCTGTGAATTCGAGGCCAACCTGGTCTACTTAGCAAGTTCCAGGCCACTGAGCCACATAGAATGAGACACATGCACTATAGATAGACAGACAGATTGATAGATAGACACAGATATGGATAGATAGAAGAGAACCATATAAAAAACGCTAGGACCTCTGGCCTCCACAGACATGCCCACACATGTACACACACACACACACACAGACACACACGTAGTTACATTTTACTTAGGGTATGCCTCGGTGGTGAAGCATGTGTTTCACATGCTTAAGGCCCTGGGGTCCTATCCCCAGAACTACACACACACACACACACACACACACACACACACACACACACACACACGCACACACAGGGAAGGGGTGCCATTTGTCCTTTCTATGGAACTCCCTTTCGCTTTCCTTCAACATGGCAAAACCGTAAGGACTAGCCCAGGACACATGCAGTGGAGAAAGTGCCTCCCTTTTCCCATGCCCTCTACCCTCCCTCACCTCCCCCTACCCCTACCTCCCACACCCGGGCAAACAGATGATGCAGACACCGGACTTGCCTACAGTCCAGTCCATGAGGCTGGTACCGCAAGTTGAGCTGTCTAATTTCACACTCAGATTGTCAAAAATAAACCCCCATACCACTTCCTTCCTGTAATTTCTAAATAAAGGCCATGGGGATTTCAAGAACTGTGTGAGTGGGGGAGGGGTAGCAGAAAGGTAGTTCTTGGGGATGAGCTGTCCCCAAGATGATAGAGTACAGAGCTTGGCCCCCAAGACAGAAGACAGTATGGGGGTACTCCCAGCCTAGCTGCAGAACAGTTGTCAGTGGGGGAAGGAGGAAGTCTAAAGCTTCCACAGGCCTGGGGTTACAGGGACAGAGGAGGAAGGGGACAAAATTGGTTCCTGTGTCCCCAGGTCATACATTGTACACACAGAAATACACACTGACAAGGGCTGGAGAGATGGCTCAGAGGTTAAGAGCACTGCCTGCTCTTCCAGAGGACCTGAGTTCAATTCCCAGCAACCACATGAAGGCCATCTGTAAAGAGACCTGATGCACTCTTCTGGTGTACAGGCAAAACATGGAGATGGAACATTGTATGCAGAATAAATAAATCTTTAAAAAAGGAGACTAACAAAACAGTCTTCCATCTCTGAAAAGAATTTATTAAAAAAAAAGAAATGCACACTGACATACACACACACACACAGATATATGCATACATATATCTATACATACCCAGACACACAGATATACACATATGTATACATATACACACACACACAAGAACAGAGATACATACACACACACACAGAGACATACCCACACACAAGCACAAAGATACAGTATACATACACATAAATGCACAGAAACTTTTTTTAAAGACAAGGTCTTATGCCTGGTGTAGTGGCGCACGCCTTTAATCCCAGCAATCAGGAAGCAGGGCCAGGCAGATCTCTGTGAGTTCGAGGCTAGCCTGGTCTACAAAGTGAGTTTAGGAGAGCCAAGACTGTTACACAGAGAAGTCCTGTCTAAAAAAGGAAGGAAGGAAGGAAGGAAGGAAAGAAAGAAAGAAAGAAAGAAAGAAAGAAAGAAAGAAAGAAAGAAAGAAAGAAAGAAAAGATCTTACTTATATGGCTTGGATCTCATGACCCTCCTGTCTCAGTTTCCCAAATGCTAGACTATAGGTTTAGCCACCACGCCCAGCAATGAGCAGTGACAGGAGAAACCCAAGGACCCACAACCAGGCCCACCCACAGGCCTGGAGCGAGGGAGCCTGGAAGACACTGCGGGGTCAGGGACGGCATTCAGTGAGTCCCTATCCGTGTTGCTGACAGCACTGGTCACTCGTCAGTTGCTGTTTTGGGGGGGGGTGTTCTGCCTGCATGAATGTCTGTACACTATGTGCATGCAGTGTCACTGTAGGTTATGGGGGTGTTGAATCCCCTGGGACTGAGTTATAGAAGGTTATACATCACTGTGTAGGTGCTGGGAATCAAGCCAGGTCCTCTGGGCCATCTCTGT